ACCTGCCTGAATTTGCCAAGAACCCTCCCCTTTCTCCAAATCTAGACACTGTGGCTAAGTTTGATGCCAGCCAATGTCCTCAGGGAGGCAGTCACCAGGGACAAGGTCGCCCCCTGCAGGCAGGGCTAGGGCATTCTCTCAGTGTGGCAGGCCTGCTCTTCACAAAAGAATTCTGTGGGACTCTTTTAGACCCCAGGGCATGCTGTTTCCTACTACGCGGAGCCCTCTCAATTCTACCTGGCAAGCAGCCTGCCATCCTGCTCCACTGCTGCTTCAACAGTGGCCACACACAGACAGGAAAGACACATTTTAAAAAGCCTCCACTTCCCTCCCTGTGTTTACTGCCTTTGAAAGAGGGAGATGTTTTTTAGTGATCCATTTGCAGCAACTTCTTAAAAAGCAAGCAATTTCAACGTTTTGGCTAAGGCCCCTACAAATTATATCAGTTGGATTTTTCCTCCAAGCTATAGTAAATAGATTTATGTATAAATAACTATGAGTGAATGAATGAAACAACCTTTGCAAAGAACGCTTCCCCCAGGCCGCAGAGTGCCCCCTGCTCGCAGGCAGCAGGCCCAGGAGGCTGGGAAGGATGGTGCTCAGGGCGGAGGTTGGCACAGCCCTGAGGGAGTCTCAGAAGTACAGGACAAAGAACCCATGGCCTCGGACCCCATGGCAAGAGGGAAGCTGGCCCCAGCTGTGAAATCTTTCCATCCCCAACCAAATGTTCAACAGCAGGCCATAAAAGGGAAGGAGCAGCCCACAAACACGGTGAGCAGGGAGAACAGGTGAGCAGAGCTGCCAGCTACAGGACGCTACCACAGCGACGCCCCATCAGTGCGCTGGTTCAAGGGGCCAAGGGAGGGCAGGAGGACCCCGCGCCCACTCGCTCGCTGCCTCTGTCCCCCAGGCCAGCGCTCAGCTCAGGCCACCTCCCGCTCCGCACAGCCGCTCCTGCCTGTGAGCTCTGCGGAAACCAGAGCCACCCCACAGCCTAGAGGCACGGGGATGGCTCCCCTCGGACCCTTGCCGTGCCAGCTGAGGACAGAGCCTCCCCCATCAGTGCAGGGGGAAGAAGGTTGTCGGCTTCCAAGTGCTCGTGCAGCCTGCCCACGCCACAGCCTGCCCACGGCCCGTCTGTCCCTCCAAAACGTGCCGGGGAGGGGAGCACTGTTCTTCAGATTCCGAGAAGGGAGGCTTTCACCTCATGTCCTTCCTTCTGTGCTTTCCCTCATCTTATTTACAAATATGGAAACTACAAAGCTTAAACCTGGGTCTATTTCGGAGGATGACACAGCCCCAGATGGGCAGGGGCAGGCAGGCTACGCCAGGACGAGGGCCCGGGAGATGCCGCATCAAAGGGGCTCTTTCACCACCACCATGAGGTCAGCATTTCCACTTCCGCCATCAGAGGCAGCGGACTGTTATGCCTAATAAGAGACCCAGTCTTCTGACCCCTGCAGGCGAACAGGGCATCCAGGAAAGACAGGCCACTCCCCCGCCCACTCGCCTCCTAGGGCAGCTGGCAACAAGAGGCCTTTTCATCCGAGAGCGGCGAGCGCACTGCAGTGCTTCGGTGACAGGATGTTTAAAAGACATCACGAAGGCGCTGCGCGAGGCAGACAGCCCGCCGGACAGTTCCTGTCCGTGCAAGGGCTTTTACTTCATGTTTCTCGAGAGACAAAATCCTTATTTTCCTCCCCCATACCCTGAAGGGTCCACATTTCATATGGTCACTTGTCACCACGCAGGCTGGGGAGACATCTGTCTCAGCCACTCCCAGTGCCACTTCCAAAGCGGGCGCCGCGGAGCATTGCTCCTCTAGATCACAGACTTGAGCGCCAAGGGGGGTGCCGCCTGCTTGGACGCGGCTCGGCCCACAGTGGCGGGAAAGGGAAGTCCCACATGATGGGCAGCTGGAGCTGCGCTGGGCGCAGGAGCAGGTCCGAGAAGAAGGCTGTCTCTTACACAGCTGCGCTTGCTTGTTTCCTGAAGAAGGGGCATTTACCCAGGCTGGCCTCAAGTGATCATCCCACCTCAGCCTCCGGATAGCTGGGATTACAGGCTGGCATCATCGTGCCTGGCATTTGCTGTTCCTTGTTTTAAATTAATTAATGGGGACAGTGGTCACCTTGTCTTGTTTAAAACAAGGGGTCAGTGGGGTTCAAAATAAACACAGGGACACTGCATACATCTGCGATGGTGCCTGGCACTGGCATTCCACAGCGGGTCTTCTCCAGCCACGAAGCTCCCTGCACCATGCTGGGGACAGGTCGTCCTCTGCAGTAGCAAGAGTTTACTTCTGGGGGCAAAGGCCATGTCCCTTGGTACCCCCTTTGGAGCCATGCTGTGCGGACACGAAGTACGCTAGACCCACGGCCTACTCCACAGGCCGGGAGAGAAACCAGGATGGAGGTGCGGATGACCTGGAGCTGCTCAGGGACAGACAGCTCGGACACCTGCTCCTGGGGGCACAGGGAGTGGTCCCACCACACAGCACCCTCTCTCTACCCTACCCTGTCCTCTCCCGAGGCCAGGGAGGCGGGAAAGTGCTCCAAGATCAGACCCCTTTCCCCGCCACAGGCTGCGTGCAGCAGGAGAGCTGTGTGCTGACATGCACCGGAGTGTCGTCGCACCTCCTCTGATGGTGTGAAGGACGCGGCCCCTCCAGATCACAGACGCACAGGAGACACTGGGACAAAACCAGCCACCAGCAGAGACCGAGGCTGATCGATACCCCAATGAGACCAAACCCCAAAGTCAACTTCTGTTTATCCCCTCTTCACACTACCATTCTCTTCTAGATTAATACACACAATACTGAGTAAGGTGATCCCGCAGCCGCGTCCCTGTGGGGGCAGCCACTGTCCCTGTTTCACTCAGAACAGGAAGCATGGCATGGCTCACACTGCTCTCCGCTCCAGTTGAACAGAACCCATGTAACGGTAGGTCTCAACTCCTCGTTCCTGCCAGTGGAGACTCCATCCCAATCCCCGTGGCCACCAGTGCACTGTGACCCAACTGTGCCCCCCAGGCAGACCCCGTGCTCACAACGGCGCAGGCCAGAAGCGGCCTGTACTTCAAGGAGGTACAGGTGTGTTCGCACCAATCTCATCTCTCAGTGTGGAGTTTCTGGATCAAACAGTGCGTCCTCTTTGCTGTGACCAAGGCTGCCTGCACGGCCTTCCTGAAGCGCGGCAGTTTACACTCTGGCTGGCAAGCCTCCTGAGCGCCCGTCCCTGCACCACGACCACGCTCGTTCCCCAACTGTCCCTGGAAGCGGTCTGTCATTCCCAGTGGTAAAGTGCCAGCGACAGGGGCTGCACTGGCTTGGAGGGCTGGGGGATCTGTCTCTGCCAGGGTCTGGGACGGGACTCGCTGGGCAATGGCAGACGACAGGGAGCCCAGGGAAAGACGACTCTTCGGGGCAGCTTGGATGTTCTCTCAAAAGCGAGGCTGAACCTCCCTCCGTATATGTAGCATACTTTTCATGTACTATATACACCCTTTCACGTTTTTCCCTATTTAAAATTTTCCTTCTAGTTAATTTGTGGATGTTTTCTGAATACAAGGAAATCAGCTTGAAATGAGCTTGATTAAATAAAACATTTTCCACAGTGTTAATCTTTTAGAATTTGTTCACAGTGGCTATCACTGAATTATCATCTTTTCTTCCTGTGACTTCTCCGAGTTCTGTTCATTTAGTTTTAGTGTTGCCTGGGTATACACAAATGGACTAAACTGCACATTAATTATACACGTTTTACTGTACTTCAACTGTTAACAGAGTGGAAAATGTAATAATTTTAAACAGCAACCAAAATTCATCATCAAGTCACTGCAAACTTGTGCCAGGAATCTCCAGAAA